TCTCCCTGCACATATTATTTTCCTTTAAATATTTGGAGCCATCATTTTAAGCCTTTTGACCAGTGATCGTTAACAGTGATCTGTGTTATTAGTCATTTCTTCACAAATTATTTTATTGGCATAAATAATGACAGAGTATTCCATCATCTAAATGTGCCATGATTATTTAATTACTCCCAAATATTGAACCCTTAAGTCAGCACTGATTTTTCATTATTATAATTAGCCTATGGGCTTCCCTGGTGGCTCAGATGGTAAAGAATCTGCCTGCAATGCAGGAGACCCAGATTCAATCCCTGGGTCGGAAAGGTCCCCTGGAGAAGGGAATGGCAGCCCACTCCAGTATTCTGCCTGGAGAATTCCACGGACAGAGGAGCCTGGCAGGCTACAGTCTATGGGGTCACAGCTGAGTGACTAACACACACACATAGTTAGACTACAACAAACTTTCTAATATAAAAAATGTCATCTACATCTCTGATAAATTCTTTAAGAGCAGAATGTCTGGGTCCAAAGGCATGGATGATTTCAAGGTTTGGGGGAGGTATTATCAAGCCTGTTTACACTCCTCTCAGTGAGTGTGAGGGCTTGAGTTTTGTCACTTAAAAAAAGCTTAACTAATTTGAGAGACAATGTCTAGTATCTTTTTCTGTTTTAATAAGTTTTTTAAAGAATATTTATTTGGCCGCATTGGGTCTTAGTTACAGCACGGGAGATCTTCTTGCATCATTCGGGATCTTTTGGTGCACGGGGCTCTGACGATCCAGTACTTCGGCCACCTAATTCGAAGAGCCGACTCATTGGAAAAGACCCTGATGCTGGGAAAAACTGAGGGCAAGAGGAGAAGGGGCCGACAGAGGATGAGACAGTTGGATAGCATCACTGACTCAATGGACATGAGCTTGAGCAAACTCAGACAGATGGTGATGGACAGAGAAGCCTGGCATGTCCCCCTGCAGTTCCATGGGGTCACAGAGTCAGACATGACTTAGCGACTGAACAACAACAATGGGCTTGGAGCACATAGCCTTCAGTAGTTGCGGCACACAGGCTTAGTTGCTCTGCGGCATGTAGGATCTTAGTTCCCTGATCAGGGATCAAATGTGTGTCTCCTGCGTTGCAAGATGGATTCTTAATCACTAGACCACCAGGGTAGTCGTTTTAACAAGTTTTACTACCTAACATAATAGAGTCTTGGCCAGGCTCAGTTACGGTTCCGAGGATCAGATTCCTGTGTACCGCTCTGATACATGGAGCAGTGTAGGTTTTATGTAAAGAGAGCTTTGTGACTCACAACAAGCCCTGTGTTTGCGAGTGAGGAGTGAGGAGGCTGGCTTCTGGTTCCAGTCAGCCACGTTTCCTTAGGCAAGCGTTCTATTCTCAGGCATTTACTTTAAGTACCTCAGAGGAGCCAGTAGGATGCTTGTCTGTGTTGCAAGGTGACTAGAGTCTGTGCCCTGAGGAGGCTCCCTCCTGAGGCTGTTACAGCAAGCGCTTCAACTATTGCCTTCGAAATCAGTCCCCGAGGGTTTAATTAATTAGCAGAAGGAATGTCAGAAATAATTTTCAATTGAGGAAATGATTGATGTGCAAGATATGAAGCTGACAAGTAAGGCTGTAAGGTGTCTTTCTGCATTTTTCTGAACAACATAAGTAAGCTTAGTAATCAAATGTTTCTGGAGTCGCACCCTGTCTAGAACTCCATGTGTTCCAAAATCTTCCATTTTACCCACAATACAGTTGCTTGATCTGGCTGGAGGGGTAGCTGATTAGATCATTGTAACAGGTGTACTTGCCCCAGAGAGAAACTTTCCTGCGCTTCCCGTAGAATGTCAAAGTGGGTTGGGGCTGCGGGGCACTCCACTGAGCTTCCAGAAACATGTTTTTGGACTCCTGCGGTGTCTTTCTTCTGTCAGAATTCAGTTGTAAGATAACATCTGGTAGGTGTAGGTTGTAGGTGAAGCAGGAGGGGAGGGGGCAGGGCACAACCTTTAGAAGAATGGGACATGACAAGCTGGTTAACCAGCTAGATCCAAGATGGCAGAGGAGTCGACTTCTAGTGGACCTTGAGCTTCATTGTCAGATCACTGTAATACATTAGCATGCTAAATGACACCCACCAGTACCATGACAGTTCTGAGGCCAAACTTAAGAGGTCAGAAGTGGGCAGTTGTCCAATTCCTGGAAATCTCTGCCCCCTTCCCCCAAAATAGTTGGAATAATCCTCCCATTCATTAGAAAATTACCCAGCCCATAAAAACTAACCATGCCATATTGTGGGGCCCCTCAGCTTCTGAGATGGCTCACACTGTCTGTGAAGTGCGTTTTTCTCTAAATAAAGTCACTTTTCACCTATCGTTTCATCTCTGAAATCCTTCATGTCCAGGCAAAAGCTTTAAATTCACTGGGAATGTAAGGAGGGAGACCTATCATTTCTGACTTAACCTCTTTAAAGTGTTTTCCTCATTCAGATGAGTGGCAGAAAATGGACTGAATTATTTCTGAGTTCACAATTAGTCCTACAAGTTCTAGATTATGTGTATAAAGAACACAGCATTAGATTCAAATGACCTGGCATCTTCATCCAATAGAAAGGAAATATTTGTCATAATATTTAATACTAATTTTAATGATACTTAATAGAAGGAAATGGAAAGGAAAATAGAAGTGCAGAGAGATTAAATAAATGGGCTAGGTCTATCTTTGCTCCAAGATTCATGTTCTTCTCCTGTAACCCCTGACACCCTTTTGTTATAGATTGCACTGTGTCCCTGGTGGCTCAGATGGTAAAGAATACGCTTGCAATCCTGGAGACCCAGTTTTGAACGCTGGGTCGGGAAGAGCTCCTGGAGAAGGGAATGGTTACCCACTCCAATATTCTTGCCTAGGAAATCCCATGGACAGAGGAGCCTGGAGGACGATAGTCCATGGGTTTGTGAAGAGTTGGATGTGACTGAGTGACTGACACACTTTTAAAATTCTTATGTTGAAAACTGTATTTGTAGATAGGACTTTTCAAGAACTAAATAAGGTTGAATAAGGTCATAAGGATGGGGCCCTAGTCCAACAGGACCAGTGTCCTTTAAGGAAGAGGAAAAGACGCCAGGGTTGCCCATGTTCAGGGGAAAGGCCATGTGAGGACACAGTGAGAAGGTGTCACCTGCAAGCCGAGGAGAGAGGCCTCAGGAGACACCAAACTTGCCAACACCTTGATCCTGGACTTCCTGCCTCCAGAACTGTGAGGGAATAAATTTCTGTTGTTCATGGCCCCCAGTCTGTGGTATTTTTCTATGGCAGCCCTAGAGACTGACAAACCTTAACTTCATGCAGATGGGGCAGAAAGATGCCTAAGAGGATGATTTCGGTGAGCCTTATGCCGGGAAAAAACAAAAAAGGAAAGCGAAGGGATTTCTGGCTACCTCAGGTTTGTGAGATTACGGAGCTCTGCAGCTTAAGTACGGATTTTCCCCTCAGCTCCTGTGGTGGTAGTTTAGTTGCTAAGACACGTCCAACTCTTGTGACCCCATAGACTTTAGCTTGCAGGCTCTTTGTCCATGGGATTCTCCAGGCAAGAACACAAGTGGGTTGCCATTTCCTTCTCCAGGGGATCTTCCTGACCCAGGAATGGAACCCAGGTCTCCTGCATTGTAGGCGGATTCTTTACCAACTGGGCTACAAGGGAAGCTCCTGTAGAGATTAGCAATAAAATCTAAGTGAAAAGCACTCTTTAGTTCATCCCATGAGTATTTTCTGAGGACCTACTTTCTTTTGGGCAGGGAGCTAGGTAAGCTGGCATGAAGGGTCTCTTCCCTCCTGAGAGAGTTGTGCCATCTTTCAGAAATCAGAAATGGGGAGTGGTTGGGGAGGTGGGGAGGGGTACCTCAGGAGATGTTAGGGCATTTGGAGGCAACTCTTGAAGGGGAGGAAAGCTGGCTGATGCCCAGACCCGCAGGCAAGGGGAAAGGAGTGAGGAGGAATAGAAGTTGTGCAGTTCATAGGCTGCAGGGATGGGCTTCCCAGACCAGCACCAGGAAGGACCTCCAGAAAAGAGAGGAGAATGGATAGAGACCAGGGCAGTGGCCCAGGGAGGTGCACCAGGATCTGTGAGGACCACCAGGAGTGCTGAATGGATAGGGTGGGTGAGAGGAAACTAAACAAAGGGAGGCCTCTTAGTGAGTTTCCCTTGCTTAACTATTTCTCCTTGAGTAGAAACTTGAGCTCATTTTTAACCTGACATGGTAATGCCAGTAAGGGAAGAACACAGAACTGGGAAGCCAACCAGTTTCTCAGTACTGTCTATCTCCTTACCCATCTTTTCCCTGGGAGCCCTAGTGCAGAAAGAGTTCACTGTCGTGAAATCAACACCGAATGTAAGTGCAATCCATAATTGTGTAAGTGAGGTTGCTTCTGATAAACCAAAATGCATTATCAGATTATCATTAACACAATAATGCATCAGTCAAATGCATTATCAGATTACCATTATCAGATCCATTACCAAGATGTGTCCTGGGTAATGACACTTCAATGCATCTGTCAAGGCATGATGGTGTTTTTCCTGGCTCTGTCTAAGTACCTGTCATTCTCCATGAGAAAGATATCCATTCCTTGTGTCTTTCTGGTAGACAGGACAGGGAGGAGGGGGAGAACCAAGCAATTACTTTGGAATTGGCTCCTGTAGGTAAAGAATCTGTGTTCTCAGAAACACCTATCCTTTCCTCTCTGGGTGATTTAAGCACCAATTGACTTGATAGATTTTTTAAGATTCCTTCCAGCATTTTGGTTTTGTGCCCCTAATCTCTAAGGAAAATATTTCCTGATGCACGGACCTCACTTGTAATTTGATGTGATGCCAGTTTGCAAAGTTACGGCTGATGTTGGACACACAGCCTTATGTGCCTTCCAAGATAGTGATTTTTTTTAAGACCCCAGACCTAAATTCAGCTGTTGGCTTTGCAATTGGTTTTAACTCATCTCACCTTCAGTCTATTCAATCGCAGGTAATTTTTAGATGGTGGAAGATCTCTCTGAGGAGTGAGTATCGATCAACAAAACCTGGAGAAACAAAAGAAACTCATGAAGACTTCCTAGAGAAGTCACATCTTCAGGGTAAGGAAGGGAATGTATTATGTACTTGCTACTGTTAAGTTCTCTTTAGTTAGTGACAGAGTTTGTCAGTGAAGTAGCAAATATCTCACCATTTGAAATATTGATATGTAACTATGTGCTTAATTGGCTATAACAGATATGATAGAATATTGGGATCTTAAAAAATAGAAAATTGTTAACATATCCTGAAATTTCTTTTGGAAAAAAAAATCTCTGAGGGACTTCCCTGACTGTCCAGTGGTTAGGACTCCACACTTCCACTGCAAGGGGCGTGGATTCGATTTCTGGTTGGGGAACTAAGATTCCACATGCCAAGAAATATGGCCCTCCCCCCAAAAATTATTAATAATCTTTTTTAATTTGGCTGTGCAGCTTGTGGTGTCGAGTTCCCCGACCAGGAATCTATCCTGTGCCTGCAAGCCATGTGGTTGAAAATGCTGAGTCCTAGCCACTGGACTGCCAGGGAATTCCCATCATTAATAATCTTAAATCATGTAGTAAAATGATTTTTCCCCCTAACATTTAATTAAAATGGCTTTCCTTTAGTTAAAAATAAGGTAAAACATTATTCCAAAACATAATCAAATTATCAAGTCCTTAAATTCTTACGCATTTTGACATTCATTTAAAATCCCTACCATTTCTTTTAATAGCCAGGTTTTCATGAGAAGCAGTCTTTTTTTTTTTTTTTGGCCATGTCACATGGCTTGCAGGATCTTAGTTCCATGACCAGGAATGTAACTCAGGCTCTAGGCAGTGGAAGCGTGGAGTCCTAAATGCTGGACCTTCAGGGAATTCCCCAAAACCAGTCTTAAGTAGCACTTGGACTAAATAATAGAAATTGCCCTTCGATTTCCCCTTTGCTTTTTTTCTTCTCAATGTGAAAATTTCAAACATAAATGTAGACAGAATGTTTGTTAAAAAAAAGCTCTGATGCACCCATAACCCAATTGAAAAATACTCAAAATACAAACCTTCTGTTCCCATTGGATTATTTTGAAGTAAATCTCAGATGTTACATCATTTCATCCTAAACTACTTCAGTATTTGTCTCAGAAAGGACTCTTTAAACTCTTTAATAATTAGTTCTTAATAATAAAATCTTATTATTTTAGAAGGCATTTTAGAGATTCTCACTTTATTAGGAGTAGGTAGCAATGTTAATAATATTAACATTAAGCACTTTCATATACATATTCTCATTTAATTGTTATAATATTCTTGTGAAATAACTAGTCTTATCCCTATTTCTCAAGTGAGATTCAGAATGGGTGTGACTTTCCCAGATCCCATAACTAACTACTGACATTGCCAGGCCTAAGCATTGAGAGTAGGGGAAAAAAATCTTATTTTTATTATTTATTTATTTACTGTTTATTTTTATTTATTTATTTGGCTGAGCCTGGTCTTAGTTGGCACATGGTAGCTTTGGTTGCAGCATGCGGGATCTTTTTTTTTTTAAGTTGTGGCGTACAAACTCTTAGTTGTGGCATGTGGGATCTAGTTTCCCCACCAGGAATCGAACCCAGGCCCCCTGCATTTGGAGTGCAAAATCTTAGCCACTGGACCACCAGGGAAGTTCCCCCAAATCTGATTTTTAAAAGTCACTCTCTGTTCTAGTAATTTACTAAGGAGAAATTATCACCAATTAAAGCATATCATCAATTACTTTACTTTAAATAACTTTTATTATTTCCATAGACAATTTTAATAATGATGGAAGACTGCTTTTTATTGTTTTCTCAGATTCTAACAAAAAAATAAACTGATGACATATGATCAAAGTCATGACTTTTTATATACCATCTCCATGACTATTTTGTGCTCATACATGCAGCTTTAAAAAGATTTTATTCCATAATTTTGATTGAAAGGAACTGTCAAATAAAAAATGCAGATTTAAAAAAAGGCACATTCTAGGTGGATCTTTGATAATCAAAATTCTTAACGATTTTCTCTTTTGTAACATTATAACATGTAATAGTTGTTTTTTTAAGAGAGAGAATAGGTTTGGTTGGGTTTTGCCTCCTCAAATAGTTAAACATCTGGATTGATTGTCCTCAGTTTTTGGTTATGAAATTCATTACCGGCCTGCAAAGAACCATGCTGAGGACTCTACTTTTCACTGAACAAAAATCAGTCCATGCATGCCTTACTTATTTAATTGTGGAATTGACTGCAAAGATAGTTATAAAGTAAACTTCTATAAAACACATTTTGTTTCCAAGTCAGGTTCCATTTTATTTTTTAAGCACAATGGTACCTAATCGGGAGCTATATGACTAGGGAGTGCTGAGCATCCATTGGCATGGGATTTTCTGACAGCTCTTGACAAAAACCTGAAGATGGGGGTTTGGGCCAGAGAGATGGGAGGTGATTGTCTTTTTTTTTTTTAAAGAACTTAGCTGTTTTATTTTATTTTTATATTATTTATTTATGGCTGCACTGGGTTTTTGTTGCTGGGCACAGGCTTTCTCTAGTTTTGATGCATGGGCTTCTCATTGCGGAGGCTTCTCTTGTTTCGGAGCACCAACCATAGGGTGCTTTTGGGCTAGTTGCAGCTCCCGGGCTCTAGAGCACAGACTCAATAGATGTGACACATGGGTTCAGTTGCCCCATGGCTTGTGGAATCTAAACCCACCCAGAGCATGGATCAAACCCTGCAATGGCAGGCGGATTCTTATCCACTGGGTCGACAGCAAAGTCTGGGAGGTGATTGTCTTTTGAGTAGAGGCTTGAGGGCCAAACCCTCACCTGTTTCTTGAAGCCCCAGGTGTCTCCAATGCCCTTGCCCCCTCATAAAACACCAGAGTGAGGGCAACATCAGCTTCAGGACGACCGCTTGTGGGTTTCCTGGTCCTGGAAGAGTAAGCAATAAAGCGGGAATTTATGAGTCTGACTGAGGCCTCCTGCTGGCTCCACTCCCGCCTGGAGAGAGGCGAGTTGAGGAGTTCAGTTGAGGAATACACCCAAACAGGCTTTTAAAATTGCAGTCTTTCAAGCTGCAGTCTCATGCCAGGAACAACACAGAGACAGCAAATTAAATCGGCCTGGCAAGTTCAAAGACGTCTGTGTCTCACTTTGTAGACTTCCTATAGCACTGGGATCTTGACAGAGGGGAAATCTCTGAGCAGCACTGCTGTTTCCCCTCCTCTTCCCCCTCGGTTCTTAGGGAATCCCTCAGAACCCCTCAGAAAGCCCTCAGCAGCATAAGAGGGGTGCTCTGTGGCACAGGGCGGGGTCAGGGGGCAGAGCCAGGTTTAAATCTCTGCTGCCTCTGCCCGGCTGTGTAACCCCCTCTATGAGCCCATTTCCTTCTCAATGCGTGCTAAGTTGCTTCAGTCGCATCCGACTCTTTGCGACCCTATGGACTGTAGCCTGCCAGGTTCCTCGGTCCATGGGGATTCTCCAGGCAAGAATACTGGAGAGGGTTGCCATTTCCTACTCCAGGGGGATCTTCCTGACCTAGGGATCGAACCTGAGTCTCTTGTGTCTCCTGCAGTGGCAGATGGGTTCTTTGCCACTCAGGTCACCTGGGAAGCCCTTTCCTCCTCATATTAGGGGGTCAAATGCTTGTTCTGTGTGTTCACTGTGAGCATTCGATGACCTGACATGTGAAAGGTTTTTAGAATGGTACAGAATAGGGTCTTTAATCTTTGTTTGCTGTTCTTAGTAACTGCAGGATGTTTGGATTTATTATTTTTGTTGTTGTTGTTTGGATTTATTTTACCCACCCCCTCTTCATCACAGTGCCAAGATCCCCTCAAAGTTTTTTCTTCCAAAGGTCTTCTCCTGCTAACATCCTAAAGAACAGTGGGGAAGTTTCTAGAAATCGTGATCAGTGTTGATGTCAGCCCCAACAGAGGACCAGAACTGTGTTCTCTTGCTTTGGGTGGCGTTTTCTTCTCTGGCTTCCTGGATCACCTTGGTCTTGGTCCTCCTCCAGCCTCACTGGCATCTTCCTGATCTCCTTGCTGGGTCCTTCTCATCTTTCCAAATCTAAATATGGGGCCCTGGGTTCAGCTCATGAGCCTCTTCTCTTGTCAGCTTGTCAGTTTGCACTTATTTCCTGGGGGGATTAGTTCTGTCTTCTGGTTTTAATTTTCATTTATTTAACAATATTGGGTCTTAGTTGCAGCCCTTGGGATCTCTACTTGTTGGCTTAGTTGCTCCGCGGCATGTGGGATCTTAGTTCTGCCATCAGGGATTAAACCCACATCACCTGCATTGCAGGATGGATTCTTAACTACTGGGCCACCAGAGAATTCCTGCGGATCCGGCTTTAAATGCTGCCCACAAGCAGATAAGTCCCAAATTGGTGTCTCAAGTCTGCACCTCTCCCCGTAACTCCACACTCAGATATTTATGTAGGTTCCTCCTTGCTATCTCTACCAAGGGTATCTAGTAGGCGCTCAAAGGTAACATGTCCAAAAATACCTCCTGATCCTCCCCCTGCCAAAATACAGCCCCACTCCTAAAGTTTTCATTGGCTCCTTTCTTTCTCCTCCATGTTTGATCTAATCCATCAACAAAACCAGAATCTGAACTGTGTTCCTCTGTGTGGATACCCCCTCCCTGGGCTCTCTCTGTGTGTCCAAATTTCCTCTTCTTATAAGAATCCTAGTCAGATCAAAATTAGAGCCTGCCCATGTGACCTACTGGGCTTCCCAGTGGTGCAGTTGATAAAGAATCTGCCTGCCAATACAGGAGACGTGGTTTCAATCCCCGGGTCTGGAAGATCCCCTGGAGTAGGACATGGCAACCCACTCCAGTATTCTTGCCTGGAAAATTCCATGGACAGAGGAACCTGATGGGCTATAATCCATGGTATTGCAAAGAGGCAGACATGACTGAGCACACACACACACACCTGTTTAAAGGTCCATCTCCCACTGCAGTCATACTCTGAGGCACTGGGGTTTAGGATTTAAATACATGGATCTGGGGGAGTTTAGGATGGCACAGTTCAGCCCATAACAAGAGTATACTTTGCATGAGAG